CCCATCTCCAGAATTATTAACCCTGTGACGGTAGAGCTTCAACTTCCAAAAACACTTAGGCAGATTCATCCAGTATTTCACTGTAGCTTGCTCAAACCAGAGATCACTTCAAACCTCAGACCCTCCCTTCCCACACCTCCAACCCCCATCATGGTACATGGGGAACAACATTTTGAAATTAAAGATATCCTTGATTCACGCACTCACTGTGGATCCACACAATATTTAATAGCTTGGAAATACCTTCCTTCCTCAGAAAATGAGTGGGTAGCCAAACGACATGTAAAAGCACCCACATTACTACGAAAGTTCCACCTAAAATACCCTGATAAACCACCCTGAATTGCAAATGTAATGTATGATTTTTTTCCCCAGGTAGACCTATCTGTTTTTTAAGGAGGGCAGGATGTCAGATCCGTGTATCTGTCGTTTCTTCAGTGGAAAAAGAAAAGTGGGGGGGAGACTGATAAAGAAATCCTTTCTTGATGTAACCTGAATATATTTAATCTTATATCGTATTTGTATAACCCACACATGATAGAATGGAGGGAGAAAACCTAGATGGCTGGAACCTATCACCTCTGAGAGGCACAGCCAGGAGATGAGAAGATCATAAAAATTCCACAGTGAGATGTGTCCTGGGAATCTCTGCAAAAGTTCATTTTAAAAAGGGGGTGGGGGAAAATTAGGTATGCCCTGGGAAACTGTGAAAAAGATCATTTCTACAGAAGGGGTGGGGGGAATTAACATACTGGCTTTTGTTTCACTAAATACACATAGAGATAAGGGGAGGGGTTCTAAACTCCCTTATCTATCCCTGTATGCCTGAGGGACCTCAGATGCTGCTTTGAACTCCTACATGAATTGTCTTATCTCAGTAAAGGATTCCTTTCGATACGTTTGGTTTTCAGAAGTTCATTTTTGTTAATTGAATGGGAAAAAGTTCTGTAGCCTGACAAGGTGAGTTTTTTCAGTGAGATCCAATTTTCTGAATTAATCCAGACAAAGCAATTTCATTTGGTTGGTCAATCCATTTGAAGAAAGGTAGAGGGGCAGCAAGAAAATAGGTTAGATACCAGGTGGAAAAGGGTGTTCCTACAGCAGATTAACAGAACTGATTGAAGCCACATGTTTGCTGACACAAACCAAGTCAATTCAGGTTGTTTTCAGTGTGTCCTTTCTTCAACATACAGTTTAAGAAGGAAAATACCATTTCCAGGATAAAATAGTTACAACTAGAACTGTCTCATGCAGGTGGACAATGAAGTATAGCTATAGCATGCAGACATTTCCTCTGGAAACAGTGAGCCATCTTCCTGGATTCACAGGTATTGCTCAAACAGCACATGGCAGCTATGGTCAGAAAGGACTTCGCACATTTTGTGCATCAATTGTACCATGAGCTGATTCTATGTATATAAACATACTAGGTTTAGAGTCTATCAATTCAGAGAAATTAATCAATGTTAATACTAATTATTTCAACTGGATTTAAGCATTATTTATGGATTACCTGTAGTGTGTGAAGCAATCTCCAACTATATTTAAATAAGAGAAAGATGTATCCAATATTATGCTCATTTACTTTTTCATTAACTTTACATTTACAGTCAGAATTATCATAACTTTGTATCACTTTAATTGAAAAATTAAATGTTCACATGTTGATTATATTGTAATGTCACATCATATATCACAGAAACATACATGTGATTGAGCAATTTGTTCATGCTAGTTAAAAACTAATTAATTAAATCTGGTTTATAATTGGTTAGTGAAAGCCTTGGAAGGAGAAAGCATTTATAAATATAATTTGCTTTGGAAATAAATTCTTGATAAAAAAAAATCACATTTCTTAATATTACTTCACAATTTAAGTCTGAATCTTGCTTCATTTGTGCTACAAATATTAATGTAGACTTTATTCTTTAATAGAAAATATAAAAATCTTAGCAATCCTTTTCCCGGTTACTAATTTTTTTAAAATAAATCCACATCCAGCCTTGATTTGTTTGTTCTTGCTTTAGATTTCTTTAGAATAAAATTCTTTATTCTTTTAGAATTCTTTATTTCTTTATTGGCCAAATGTGATTGGATACACAAGGAATTTGTCAGTGCAAATACTCTCTGTATACATAAAAGAAAAGATAAGATAAAATAAAAAATAATTTTGCACAGTAGTATATTATGGTGATGAGTCATGCATTTAATTTAGCCTAACACCATGTGTTGATCATCATGCAAGATATATAGAAAATTTAATTTTGAGCAAAGATTTGGAAATGTGAATAAGACACGTATTAATGCAATGTAATGTCTGTAGTATCATTTATATTAATATAATGTATGAAAAATATTTGTAATAACTTATAAGTATTCGTTGTAGGACACTTCTTTTGAACTTAGAAGTTTGGCTTTGACACTACCTAATGGGTTGATATGATACCAAATAGAAACTAAAATTACCTACAATAAAGAAGCTTTGCTATCTACCTACTCAACCAGACCCATACTATATCTCTGTTAGAGAAACTAGCTAGCCAAGAGCTTTTCCTAAGATATTTCATTCTAAGAAATTTCCATTTCTAGAGGAGAAAACATATTAGATATACTAAAATTTGTGCATCATTCTTGTGTTTGTCTGAAAGGCAGTAACTCCAAAATCAATTCTTGAATTAGATAAATTGTTTGAGACTTTAATTCATAAAACTCAAAGGATTTGACAGGATATTAGAAAAATCAAAACAATTCTGCTATTATGGGCAACTTTTTGTGGAATAAAAGGTGTAATTAATATGGGAATTTACTGTGTAGATGATTGCAGTCATTATATGTGTCATATAAATTGGCAAACATAGTTAAATGCTATAGATTCTATGCAGAGTCTGAAGGTTTACTTAAATAGATCTATTGTGTTTGGGCAGGAAGATTATGACATCTTGGGGTAAGGGTAGAAATCAGAAACTGCTGCTTTAAGCATCCTACCAAGTACCATGACAGCAATGTAAGTATGCTATGCAGTATCACCAATGACAGCATCATGATGGATTCAGATATTACTGGCTATGCAACTACCACACTGCCATGTCTCTGGGAGGATCCACAGAACTGTGTTTGCTTGAAGGTTGGATACAATTTTCATAGAAAAGAAATTATATAATTCTGTAAAAAAAAATCAAGTAACAACATTTTTAAATACAAAAGTGTCCTCATTTTAATATTGAACTGACAGGTCCTTTTTCAAAAGGCAACTGGACTGTTTTTTCCTTGAGGAAGAAGAACAATGTATTTTGCTTCTCATCTAAGCAGTTTCATCAGTTGTGATGTGGTGGTGGAGGGAATGGAAGTATAGGTACTGATAGTTGAGACTGGATGGTGAGGGAGTGGAAGGACAGATTCTGACTGGATGGTGGTAGAGCAATGGAAGGATTGTATTTCTTTGCAGTCTTCTGAGAGCTCTTGAGACCACTTGGGGTTTATATTTGCCCTCACCTAAATTGGTGTGTTATGGTATCTTCTTGGAACTGTGCAATGGCTGCATTGTAGACTGGAGATAGGTGGTATCTTATCCCTCCTGTTGAGAGAGAGCTGCTCAATGTTAACATAAATGGCCCTTTTTATGATTTATCCCCACCACCCAGTCTCAACTGTCAGTACTTATCCTTCCATTCCCTCCCTCCTCCCTCACCATCACAATTGATGAAGCTTCTTGAATGAGAAGTGAAAAGTATTGTTCTTCTTCCTCAAGAAAAAAAACCAGTGCAGCTACCTTTTGAAAGAGCAACTTTGAGACATTTAAATATTTGTTTCAGTGGTGATATGCCACCGGTTCAGCCAGGTTCTGCTGAGCCAGTAGTAGCGATGAGCAGTGGAGACTGAACTAGTTCTCTTCGCTGCTCTGCTGTTGGGCTCATCCGCCCGCCTGGGCTCCCATACTCACCTTTATCTTCCGCATTTGAAGTGCAGCTGTTTTACGCAGCTCAAAAGAGTGTCGCACAACAGCTGCCGAAGCAACTCGGAGAGTGCAGGCTTGCAGGAGGTGAGTTGGAACACCTCTGCGCCTGTGCAAATGCCTCTGCACCTGCGCCATGTGCGTGTTTGGTGTGTGTGTGCATGCACAGAGTGCGCCCACCAAACCGGTGGCAAAAGTTTTTGAATCCCACCACTGATTTGTTTCCTCTCCCCTCATCATATTGATAACTTTCTTCTGAGCTCACTCTGGTTTGTCAATGTTTTTTTTTCTTAGACTATGGTGCCAAGTAGTGTTCAAGTAGAATAAGAAAAAATATAGAAAAAGAAATTATTTGTCCTTATTTGGGTGTTCCTTTTAATATATCCCAAAGTACTGTGTAAATTTTAGCTGCTGTTGCTTAATGTTTAGTTCAAGGGTCTTCAAACTTGGCAAGCTTAAGACTTGTGAACTTCAACTCCCAGAATTCCTGAGCTAACATGACTGGAGGAGGAATTCTGGGAGTTAAAGTCTACAAGTCTTAAAGCTGTCAAGTTTGAAGACCCCTGGTTTAGCTTGTTACCTGCAGCAATACCTTAACCCTTTTCACATGACCTAACCAGATCTCTGCTATCCTATATTTCTTCTTTTTTTCTCACTAGATGGAGGATCTTATCTTTCTTCTTATTAGGTTTCATCCTGTTTGTTTTGGGTCCATGTTCAAACCAGTCTAAACTTTCTAAAGTTTTAATCATGTCTTACAATTTTGTGTTATATGTTAGTTTGAAAATCATTCCCTTAATGTCCTCATCCAGGCCATTAAAAATTGTTAAATGATACTAGTGACAGAACTGAATTATGTGGCATTCCACTTGACAGTACTCTTGCAGATGTGAAGACATTAACAAACACTCATTAACTGTGATCATTCAACCAATTATAAACCTAACATATTTATAATCTGGCCTATTTTTATCCATTTAATTAATGAAGATAGCATGATAGATTTCACTGAACGTTTTGCTGAAATCAAGATATGCTGTGTCCACACATTTCTCTGCTCTATTAAGCTAGTCATTTTATTGAAGATAAAAATGAGGTTAGCCTAGTATTACTTGCTAATTTTAAAGATGGGTCTAAGATTGAATCTTGTGGTACCCCACTGCTTCCTTCCCTCCACATAGATGTACTATTGATGATTACTTGTTGAATACAGTGTGTCAGTCAGCTACAAATCCATCTCATGGTGATGTTATGTATATCCCACTTTTTTCTAGCTTCCCAAGAAGTAGATTGTGGTCTACTTTGTCAAATGCCTTGCTGAAGACTGTGTATATTATGTCCACAGTATTTTGCTGGTCTACTAATTTAGTCACTATGTTGAAGAATGAAATAAAATTGGTTTGGAATGATCTATTTTTATCAAACCCTTGCTGACTGCTAGTTATTACTTTACTCATTTTTAGATGTTGGCAGATCTGGTTTGGTGTTGTTGTTATTATTATTATTATTATTATTATTATTATTATTATTATTATTATTATCATCATCATCATCATCATAATCTTCTTTTTCAGTATCTTTCTGGATATTGATGTTAGGCTGATTGATCTGTAGTTTCCTGGTTTTTTTTTTTTTTTTTTTGGAAGATGGGAATCATATCTGCACTTTTCTAGTCCTCTGGTAGTTCTCCAGTGCTCCAGGATTTTTGAAAGATGAGGTACATTGTTTCTGAGAAGACGTCTGCCAGATTCTTTAAAACTCTGGGGTGTAATCCATCAGGTCCTGGTGATCTGTATTCATCAAGATCAGACAGATGTTCTCTTACCTTTTTTTGGTTTATTTTTACTTTTATTTTTACTCTGTCTTTTACAGTTATATTTTTGGTAGATATACATATGCTCCCCTGCCCATTTTAGAAAAATTGAAGTTTATTTATCTTGGTCTGTTTAGATATGTCCTTTTTTTCTTCTGGCAGAGAAGAATGTTAGTTTTTAAATTACAAATTATAATATAAATTACAAATTTAAATTTGTGCAGATATTAACTTCAGCTGTGTCATAACCATATAGCCTTCACTGATGGAGTTGTTACTGATGCCCATGTCCTGAAAATACGACCTACCCTGAAAGTAAGTTGTAGCTTGATTTTTACATGTGCACCCAATACAAGCCCTACCCCAGGGGTGGGATTCTACCAGTTCTATCCAGTTCTATAGAACCCCTTGTTAACTTTCTAAGCAGTTCAGAGAATCGGTAGTTAGAAGCAATCTCCTTTTGTTTTTTTCCACCCTTATTACATTCTTGGCAGACAGCCACTGTCTCTAAAAGGGAAAGGATTGTTTCAAGATTTTTACACTGCTGTTGGGAGGAAATACTTCCCTGGACAATCAGCACTTTGAAGAAATAATTGAATAATGAAGCAAAGCTTTTAGTGACAGGGAACCAAGATGAGTGACATTCAGCAAGGCTTCTTGGCTAGCTAGAAAGATTGACATTCAAACGTGAGTTTACATATTCTTTCTGAGTTTTGGTCTAAAACTGGTTTTTGTGAAGGTTAATTCTGTGCTTGGTGATGTTTAATCCTGTGTTTATTGATGGGATAATTTTCCCATTCAGCTTCAACAAGCAATAGCTACTGTTGTGATTTAATTATTTGTATTGTGCTTGAATTTTTTTCTGTCTCATGGTTTCTTTTTCTATCTGGGAAGGGGGTCTTCCTCACTGCTTTAATACTATCCTTTTGGGGTATACTTCCAGGATGCAAGCTTGGCACTGATTTTTTTTATTGCCTTTCTATGGGGCATGTGACCTTTTCTTAAATCTGGATGATTTCCTTAGGATATCTTGTGAGGTGAGTAAGACCAGCTTTAACTGGTGCAAATGGATCTAAGGATTGCTTTTCCTGGGTGTGTGTTGGGCTCTGAGTTCACCCAGAGTTTGTCAGCTCCGAATATGCCTCGCAGCAAGTCAGCTGGCCATGTCACCTTATCTCTGCTGTTGCCGGATCTGTATTTCTGCTTGTGTGCTGGCCAATGGCTTTGGAATGACTCAGCAGAGTTGAGGATGGATTCTGCAACAACTGCGGGGCTGCTGGAACTGGCTCTTTATTGATGTGGTGCATATTGTTAAAGAGGGCTGGGGCACATATAGGTGGTAATTAGGTTAAAACATGGTGAAGGTGGCACCAGGTGGGGATCAGTTAGTGAGGGTCGGAATAGGGTAGGGATGTAGACATGTTATAGGGTTAATACTATTTAGGGATAATGGGTTAGGCATGGCCAGAATTAGAACTGCGTATAGGCCTGGGTGTGGTAGGGTGATGATAATGATGATAAAAGGAAAGGGAGCAAACTCAAACCCAGCTCTAACCTTGCCTGGCTTTTAGCCATTTTTGCCTGAATAGAGTATTTGTTGTTTGATGCTATATTGAATAAACCATCATTGTCCTAAAGAGGAGCTGGAGTTTGGATTCATTTAAAGACAAATCTTCAATAATCAAAGACTGGCTGAGAGAGTGCTTTTTCTGGAGAGTTTAAATGACCTCTCTGCTAAACTTTATGACTTTATGAGCAAAAGTTGGCTGCTTGATAGTTAGCACTGCATTTTAACTATTTTCATTTCTGGCACCCTGCCTGATTTGTAACTCTGGCTTGCAGGTATTTTTAATCTAATGATTGGTATTTAGAGCAGCTTTTTGCAAGCAAAGAAGCTTTTTGTATTTTTGTACAGGTGATCCTTGATTTACAACAGTTCATTTAGTGACTATTCAAAGTTACAATGGCACTGAAAAAAGTGACTTATGACAATTTTTCACACTTATGACCATTGCAGAATCCCCACTGTCATGAGAGGCCAGGTGAGGAGAAGCGCCCCTTGACACGAGTGATGTCGAGTTGGCTATACCCACCCAGTCACATGACCACCAAGGCACATCCACCAATTAAGCCATGCTCATAGAACCGGTTGTTTAAAAAATCTGAATCCCACCCCTGCCCTACCCTCAAAATAAGCCCTAATTAAGACCCCATCCACTCCAGGATGTACAGGTAAAAATTAAACTAGGGTGGGGATGTGGAGTGGAGCTTCCCTATTATTACCTTCGGACAGTTGCAGACAGGCCTCGCACACTCTGACACCTACCTTGCTGGCCCATTTCTTCTGCATTCAGCAAGGCTTTTCTTGAAGGCCTCTGTAGCCGATAACAGAGCCCTGAAAATAAGACCTGGTGCCTTTTTTGATGGCAAAAATATATAAGACAGGGTCTTATTTTGGGGGTAACATGGTATACACAGCACAATACAATACAGTGAGCTATGTGCAGATCTGTACATTGGGGAAACAACCACCTCATAAGCGCATGGCACAACATAGGAGAACAAACAGATCAGGACTAGATTCAGCAGCCCATCTGTATTTAAAAGACACAGGGCACTCTTTTGAATTCAGCAAACTCCACATTTTGGAGAGAGGACCACTGGTTTGAAAGAGGGATTAAAGGGACCATATATGTCAAACTTGAACAGTCCTCTCTCAACAGAGGGGGAGGGATATGACATCATCTATCTCCAATCCACAGTCCTTTCAACAGTTCCAAGAAGGCTCCATACCCATTTGCACCACTCAGGTGACCCTGCTAATACAATAAACCTCTAGGTGACCTTAATGACTTACTAAAAGAATGCAAATGACCAGCTTTCTGCAAGCAGTATAAATTCTTCCATTCCCCACCATCCAGTCAGAGATGAAGAAGCTTCTCAGCTGAGAAGCAAAATGTCTTCAAACAAAAACCAGAAACTCCAGTTGCCTCTTTAAAAAAAAGCACCTTTGGGACATAGTGTTAAAATGTTTCTGGCCTGTGGCATTCTCAGCCGATTAATAAAAATAATTGTTTTCCTTGACAGTGGAATTTATATTGGGCTTTGAAAGTCATTGAGCAAATATGAGAAATTGAAAAATACATTTTAGACACAGAGAACCTTTGCACTGTGAGAAATATGAAGCTGAAACACCTATAGAGATTTTCCTTTTCATACTTCCAAGATGCCTTGATCAATTAAGAAGTGGTTTAGCCATTCCGGTCTGAATTAATCTAAGTGTATTATTCTACTGGTATATTTCAATGTTTTCAGAGAGAGGGGAAAAAAAAGAGAGAAAATTGTGGCATCCTGCAGAAATTGTAATAAATTTCAAAAACAAGTCCAAAACTGTTATTGAAACTATATAACATTTGTAGCCATTTTCCAGCTCAACAATACCTTTTGTACTAATAGTACTAATAAATCAAACTAATGTTCATGCTGTTTAGTTCTGTAACCAGGGATTTCAAGGCACAATGAGTGGCATTATGAAGAAGCCCTGGTCAAAATATTTTTGGTGGCCCCTCTGGCTGCTTTGATCTTTGAGATGAGTGAGATGATTCTAAGTGCTATTTTATTTCTCACAGTAATTTTGGATTTTACTACATTGCATTTTATAGCAGTTGCCAGAACGTTGTGTCCTAGGAGTTTCCCAGAAGACCAAGAGATCCTTGAGAAATCATCAAGTAGGACACCAAACTATTTCTTTAGAGTCAAGCATTCAGGGATGCCTTATAGTTATGACAGGGTAGTTAGTACAGTGAACAGCTGTTACTTGGCATTTTCCTAGGAGGCCATTTAAAATACTTCAAGAAATATGATCACCATCTTTGATATAATGCCACAATAATTTCTTTGGCTAATCATCAGATCATATTTAAAAAATTAAACATAAAGCATGCAGGATGTATGGCAGTGGGATATAGTCATTTGCATCATTAGTTTCTAGGAAAGCACAATTTAAGCAAAGATGGCTGGATTGCTCAAAATGGGAAAGGTTTAGGGTTGTTCCTCAGTTGCAAACTCATTACAAATATCATGTCCCTTCTATGGCAAACAATTCCATTGAAAACCACTGAAGTTTAATTTTGCCAACTGCTGCATGGGAGAGGGTAAATCACTGACAATAACTGGTCTCCTCATCACCTTATACTGATTTAACAAATAGCCAAGGATATAATAGGCATCAATCTTCCAGACACTGTCCCTTTCATTATGTTTGAACTATAAACTTTTTTCAAATGTATCTGAACTTTAAGTAAAAGAGTGGTAAATATTTATCTAAAAACCAGGTTGATCTGGTGTGGAAGAGGACTGTCCCTGTGTTTAATCTTGATGTGACTATGGCAATTGTGCTGTGTCCAATAGAGAAAATATCTGCTTGCTCTAGCTCTGATTTCATAGCAGTCCCCCAATCTCCCCACAAAGGTATCTCAAGTAGTAGAGTTGAGCAAGACCCTTGGCACAGAGTCTTGCTCTTAAGGTACAATTCTGGCCTGGATAAATCAAAGATATGATTATAAATTTATTTGCATGTATTTCAGAGATTTTATTTGTAGATAAAGTTTTTTATTTTTAAACACAAACATACACATACAAAAACATAAAAACATAAAATCCTCTTCCATTTTATATACATACAGTGTGTCAGTTGGTTACGTATCTTTTGTGCTATACTTTTGTAGTCATTTACTCACAATTTATATCAATCTTCACATTGTCAAACTAACATATGTTTATATATTTATCAGTTATTAATCATCCATGACTAAACTATTTATTCCATCATTTTATATGAGATGTTCCACATTTTATCTTAAAATTTATGTTATACTTTCAACCAGTAGTTATATATATATGTATCATGTTTTATATCAATCTATTAGATTTCTATCACAAAATTATCTAGTCTATTATATTACCATGCCTTTTTATCCAACCATTGATAAAACAAATCCCATATCATATAAAATTGCTTATCTTCTTGTTCTCTAATTTCAAATGTCAATTTACTCATTTCAGCACAGTCCATAATTTTTTTGATAACTTCCTCCTGCATAGGTATTTTGTCATTTTTCCAGTTCTTCGCAAATACAATTCTAGCTGCTGTTAAGACATTTACAATCAAATATTTCAATTCTTTATTGTATATGTTCGAAATTACTCCCAATAAAAAGATCTCTGGTTTAAAGTCTATATGCCATTTTATCATTTTTTCCAACACTGTGTGGATTTTAATCCAATATTTCTTTGCTTCTGAACATGTCCACCACATATGTATGGTAACATGAACCAGGTATCTGATGACATTTCCAGCATTTATCCGATTTATTCTTAAACATTCTCGCAAGTCTAGTCAGGGGTAGATGCCACCTGTAAAACATCTTATACAAATTTTCTTTATATGCAGTTGACATTGTCATTTTATAATTTTGAGATCACAATCTTTGCCATTTTTCCAAATCAATCCCATATCCAAAAATTTTTCCCCAAGTAATCATCATTTCTTTAACTTGCTCCTCCTGCAATTTAAATTATAATAGATATCCATAAAGTTTTTTATTTACCTTTTCATCAGTACCAATCAAAATTTTATCTAAGTCAGTCAACTTATCATAAACACCTTCTGCCTTGGAGTCAATTCATTTTTACACCTTGTTCTTGCAATGTTTGCATAGATTTAAGTTCACCCTTTTCATTCAATAACTCACCATATCTAACTGTTTGTTCCTTTTTATATATTATTGGATAAGAAAAAGCTTCAATAGTTGATATCCATGTTGGAATTTTTAAGTAATATTGTCTTTTAATCTCCCAGCTCAAAAACAATGCCTCACGAATATAATGTCTTCTAAAATACCCCTGTGTTTTAGTTCCCTTATACCAGAGAAAGGCATGCCATCCCAGCAGCAAGTCGTGGCCTTCTAAAGTCAATAATCTACTGTTCCTTAGTATTATCCATTCCTTTACCCACATCAAACCTGTCACCTGGTAATACAGCTCCCAACTGGGCAAGGCAAACCCTCCTCTTATTCTTGCATCTTGTAACAGCTTTAATTTTATTCTTGCTCTTTTACCCTGCCAAATATATTTCAACACAATTCTATTTAAATCTTCAAAAAAACTCTTTCCCTAATCGAATAGGAATTGTCTGGAATAAATATAAAACTCTAGGCAATATATTCATCTTAATTGTGGATATTCTCCCAATCAATGATAGTTGCAATTTTTCCCATTTCATCAAGTCTGTCGCAATCTGCTGTTTGAGTTTAACATAGTTATCTTCCTTCAGGGTACTGCATCTTGGTGTAATATAATTCCCTAAGTATTTAACCTTGTTCGTGACCTGTATTTTTAAAGTTTTTTCCAACTCTTTCTTTCGTCTTGTTAACATATTCTTTGTTAATAGCTTTGTTTTGTCTTTATTTATTCTCAGACCTGCTACTTTTCCATATTCTTCTATTTTTTCTATTAATTTGGGTGTTGTTTCCATTGGGTCTTCTAATATAAATACCAGGTCATCTGCAAAAGCTTGCAATTTATACTCCTCCTTTTTAATTTTCATTCCTTTTATTTCTTTTTCTTCTCTGATATTCCTGTTCAGTACTTCCAATGTTAACACAAACAGCAGAGGCAACAAAGGACAGCCTTGCCTTGTCCCTTTTCTTTTTTCTATGGATTCTGTTAATTCTCCATTCACCATCAATTCTGCAGTTTGTCCATGATATATTGTTTCAATGGCTTGGATAAATTTCTTACCAAAGCCCATTTGTATCAGTTGCAGTAAAAAAAATCGCCAACTCACATTGTCAAAGGCTTTTTGAACATCTAGAAACATCAAGGCCATTTGCTTCTTGGGGTGTGCTTCATAATATTCCAGAGTATCCAAAATGATCCTCACATTGTCTTTGATTTGTCTCTTTGGCAGAAATCCATTTTGATCAGTATGAATAAAGTTATTTAAGTATCTTTTTAGTCTTTCTGCCAAAATTGAAGCAAAGATTTTATAGTCTGAGTTCAATAAAGATATAGGTCTATAATTTTTAACTTGCTGCAAGTCTGTACCTTCCTTCAGTATAAGTGTAATATATGCTTCTGACCATGTTTTTGGTATTCTTTTCTTTAGCATAACTTCATTCATAACTTCTAGAACATGAAGATTCAATATTTCCTGAAAAGTCTTATAGAATTCCACTGGCAACCCATCTGGACCTGGAGCTTTCCCAGCATTCTGTTTTTTTAAAGCTTCTGTTAGTTCCATCATTGTTATATTTCCTTCAAACATTGTTTCAATATTTTTGGGTATCTGAGGTAAATTTGCTTTCTGAAGATATTGCTTGATTTTTTTCTTCTTGAATATTCTCTTGAAAGTATAGTTTTCTATAGTAATCTTGTACAATTTTTTCTTCTCCTCATTTCCATAACAAACCTGTCTTTCTTTGTTTATCAATTGGCTAATTCTTCTTGCTTCTCTTTCCTTTCTCAGTTTATAGGCTAGCCATCTGCCTGGTTTATTTGCATCTTCAAAGTAATTCTGTTTCACACTTTTAATTTTTTGTGCTAATTCCTCTTTTTCCATTAGTCCCATTTTATGTTTAATTATATCCATTTTATTTTTAATGTCTTTTTTTGTGGGGACTTCTGTAAGTCTTTTTCCAGTCTTTTATAGTCATCCTCTAATGTCTTAAATGTCTTTTTCTGTTTTCTGTTTCTTCTTCTAGTATAATCTATTATCTGTATCATGCCAATTTTAGTATTTGTGCTGCCGAAGCGAGCACATCCTAGTATAATCTATTATCAAGCCTCTTGTGTAGGCCTTCATCATGTCCCAGAGATTCTGTAAAGATGTATCCTCTTTTCTATTTTCTTTGAAGAAGAAAACAAATTTTTTCTCTATTT